GATGATATTGGTGCGGTTCTCGCTGTGGGCGTCGCTTTCCCCCTCGCGCTCGATCTCTAGCTCGTTCCTCCGCGTGATATTATCGCTCTTCGCGCTCGATGTCGTGACGGTCTCGATGCCAATCTCGTCGATTGCTCCTTTTGTCTCCATTGCGGCTCTTTGGCGCATTGATTTTTTCCTGCGTCTGGTACGTGAAGGCGAAGCGCGCCTTCGAGAGCTGTCACTGTTCCACTTCCCTCTACCACAATTTTGTCTTTGATGAATTTTTGCTGCGATGCATGCGTCCAGATATGGACCTCGATACGTATCCAGCGCTGCGTGGTTTCTGGAGAGGATGAGCAACATGAGGAGGATCGTATGGCGCCACCACCGCTTTGAAACACTGCAGGAACGCCACCAGGAGAAGGGCAACGATAGGGGGGGACTGCACTATGGGGGGACGCATCGACATGGAATCGGCGATATATCGCCGATAGGCCCCAGACAATGAATCCGAACGTTCCTGGGCGGGTTGTGGCTATCGGGCACCTATCGGGGATCAATGGGCGATTAGGGGTCCATGCATCCCCCCCTATGCCTATCCCCCCCAATCGTCGCCCCATGAAGCACACGGGAAAGATACGGATGCCAGCTGACGCTGGGGCTCTCGAGCGGGACTTGGGATATGGAATGCCTGCGGGGTTGCGGGGGTTTGGGTGGGGCGGTCGGTGGCTCAGCGATGATGCTTCACGCCGGTCTCCGCGGTAACCGCTACCTGGTTGATCAAGCCTGTCGCAGCGTCTGGAGCTCCGGCACGGGCCCACACCCCAGAGCCTCACGCCTCGATCCCTGAATCAGGAGGATGATAGAGCGAACAGAGCGGCATAAACACTAGCATGACGGAGGGCCCGAGCTTATGCAACTTCGGATCAGATTGAGGGCGCGGCGGGGGCGTCGGCAGTCTGCGACACTCTGAGGAATCCCGCCGCAGGCACTGATTTTGTACTCATTGCGCAACGAACCCCCCGCAGGCGCCGTTTTGGCGTCAAAACAACGTGGGTGAGTCGCGGTGTGGTCGCGGGGCGGGTTGCGGGCAGGTCGTGGGCGGGCCGCGGGCGAGGGCGACGACAACAACAACAGTCATTTTGAGAATTTTCGTTCTTGTCTGCCCGCGTGCTATTTAACATGCATATCCAGAGCCCGCAATGCCCGCCCGTCCGTCTTCGATCATGCCCCCCCTGGGGGTCTATCTTCCTCGCCTGCCACGTTGACCTGGCGCAACCTCCACAATAGGGTAAGGGTGGAGGGAAAGGACAACGGGCAGAGATCATAATGGAACGCGACAGATGTTAGCAGGAAGGGGGGGCTAGAAACACAACAACCAAATCAAGTACAAAACGGGCTGGTCGGGCGGGGCGTGTCGGGCGGGCGGGCCCAGACGGCGGAGTCGAGCGGTGGGTCGCTAAAGCGTTAGTCCTGCATGAATCGCGACCAAATCTCGAGCGACAGCGAGAGACCCAGGTGTTGGCGGTGCGGCGGTTCAATTGACTGCGAGGAAGTGCCGCGCGAGAGGGCAATCCCAAGATAAGTTTGAAGAAATGCCGCGCGAGAGCGCAATTATGAATTTATTGTGAAGAGGTATCAAACTTGGGGGCCCGGGGCGCAATCTGACGCCCAAAACTGTTTGTAACACATGCGAGTCCACGGAAGAGCACTTTAAGTGAAGAACACAAGGCACACCGAACAAGACATATCAACAACACATTTTTTACACATGATAACCCAACAACCAGAGCAACACCCATCATGTTAAAACTGTTCGCTCTTACTTACTCGCGTGCCACTCAACACATATATCCCAAACCATCGATATCCACCCTCTTTGTTTTCGAACCCCCTCTGGGGGTATGTCATCCGTACCTGCCGCGTGTACTTGGCGCAACCCCTAAACCAAAGAAAGAGAAAACGGATGGAAAGGGAAGAGAAGGATGGAACACGGGAATATCAGGAGGGAACATAGGAAAATAATACAGGCTGCAGAACCAGACGGGCTGATCGGGCGGTTGGACCCCTTTTTACGGACGGGTCGGGAAGGCGGGCCCAAACGGCCAGGTCGAACAGGCGCGTTGCTGAACCGTGAGCACTGCATGAATCGCGAGGATCTCTCGAGCGAGAGCTCGACTCCCAAGTGAATCGCGAGAGAAACCAAAGCGAGAACGCGATTCCTGAGTGTCGAAGGCGCGGCGTTTGAATACATGGCGAGGACGTCCCACGCGAGAGAACGATTCGGCTATACATTTTGCAGAATTTCCTCGCGAGAGTGCGATGTCTCAATAAATTGTGAAGGTATCAAGCGGGGGCCCGGTTGTTGTCGTAGTTCGCGACCCAATACCGCAATTTGGTGACCCCACACCTTCCGTAACAAAAATCAGGCGCGAGCCCTACCACTTGAATTGAAACACGCAAGGGTCACCGGGCATGGAGAGCAACAGTAAATACTTTTTGAAATAAGAACTCAACA